CCCTTCTTTTGCCTACCCTCAATGGCAATTGCCTTCACGCTCGCCTCTGCAATTGATTCCACCATGAATAGCCTCATCTCCTTTCGGATGTGATCGCTTAATCCCGCCATATACTTCATAAACACGGAATATTCCTCTGTCGCAATGTTGAGGACCATCGCCTGCTGCTGGAACTCCGTAGTGTATTCTTGAACGGTTTGATTGACCCTTTGGCGCAAGCCGTACCACTTGTACCAACGTTCTTCAAGGAATCCCACCGGATAGAACTGTTTCCTAAGTAGCTCCTTGAACTTGTTCCACGACACCGCCTTCTTCTCCTGCTTACAGTAGAATTTTCACAATGTCAACGCGTGCCCTGAAAGCTTCAAAGTCGCGAACACAATCTTCTTTTTCGACGAATAGCCATAAAGAGTAAAATACGTCTCCATCCGCTCGATCCAGTCATCAAGCCTCTCGACGTCAACACTCCCATCATAAACAGGAATCTCCACCTTAAAGTCAATCTTCAGGTTTTGATAAGAATTCTTACCACCTTGATGCAATACAGTCTTAATGGTCTCCTCCTCCTCGTCGGAATCTGAATCTACCCTTTCCACATCGGACTCAATAATTTTCTTCGAAGAAGATTCACCTTGTTTGCCACCTCCATGGATAAGACTGACGAGTTGTGTGAGAGTCGAACCTATCGTCTCGATCTGCTTCTCCAATGCATCAATCCTCGCTGAATTGTCTCCTTCAGTCATCTTCTCCTTCCTTAAATCTTGGACTCCTTCTAATGAAATAAGGATCTCGCCAAGCTTCTTGTATTGGGATCGAGTAAGGACCATACACAGGACCCCCTTCGTAGGATCTGTTCGCTCTGATACCAACTTGATACGAGTTACCGTGCGAGCACCCTTTGGTCGCAGAATTACCAAAAGGTGGGTTGAGAAGAGGACGACCAAAACACAAGAACAATTCAGTTTGGCGAAGGAAAATACCTTCTCTAGATTATGAAGAACAAAAGATTACAATCTCTCCCTTACAATCTCACTCTAGAATTGAAGAACAAGCTCTCCAAATCTCAATCTAGAATCTAATCTCTCTTGATTAAACTCTCTGATCTAAAAGATGTTTAGAAACCCTAAAACAATCCCTTATATAGGTGTACAAACGTGGATGGTAGTTTGGTAAATAACCAGACCCAAAACCAACAGGAAAACGCGTGAACAGAATCCCAAACGAACCAGGAAACCCCCGATGAGTCGACTCATGACTGAGATGAGTCGACTCGACAGAAACTGGAGAAATCTCAATAACCAGCGATGAGTCGACTCATGACAGTCATGAGTCGACTCAACCTGATGAGTCGACTCATAACAGTCATGAGTCGACTCACAGGCTGAAAACTAGGTACTTCGATTCTTCTGCTCGTCGTCTTGTTCCACGCTTCCTCCTGTGTTCCTTTATACTGTTTGACACCCCCTATTCTCATGCTAGTATGAGAATCATCTATCCTCAAGCTCCCATGAGGATCGCTAAGTTCCGAAGAGAAGATACACCCGTATCATTAGCGACGGAAATTTCGTTACTAAATTCATATTTAGCAACGGAAAACGTGCACGAAAGCATATCTGACGAATTTTAAAAAATATTAGCGACGGAATTTCCGTCGCTAATAATGTTTTAGCGATGGTTTATCCGTCGCTAAATATTTATTAGTGACGGAAAAACCGTCGCTAATGTTTTTTATTTTTTTATTTTTTTAAATTAGCGACCATTTTTTCGTCGCTAATAAGCCGTCGCTAATAATTAGCGACGGAATTTTCGTAGCTAAAAGTGATTTTAGGGACCCTTGTAATAGCGTCGAACTTTTAGCGACGGAATTTTATTTTTTCCGTCGCTAAAAGTTTTAGCGACGAAATTTGAACTTATAGCGACGGATTTGTCCGTCGCTAAAAATGGAAAATTCAGCAGTGTGTTTAAGTTTAATTTCTTTCTAGTTTGTAAGTCTCTTATGTAAATACTATCTAGTTTGCTTCTGTTTTTCTATTGTTACTGTTCATTACTATTCCAAGGCTCTAGTACTACTAGCTCCAGCTAGCTCTATCGTATCAAGGCTAAACAAGTCCTGGTCACGGTTGGAAGGAACTTTGCTGCGATTTCAATTGGTAAAAGAGTCTGATCAGATGTTTCAATGATGACAAGTTTATCCAATGTTTTTTGATAAAATTGAGAATAAGTTCCCTTATTGTCTTGTGTTAAGGGAGATGACAAGTTTATCCAATGTTTTTTGATAAAATTGAGAATAAGTTCCCTTATTGTCTTGTGTTAAGGGAGTAGAAGAAGATCTCTCTTTTTCTTTGATAAAATTGAGAATAAGTTCCCTTATTGTCTTGTGTTAAGGGAGTAGAAGAAGATCTCTCTTTTTAATGTGAGAGTGCCTTAGGACTTGTTTAGTCATGATACGATAGAGCTAGCTCGTGGGGAATATTGTGTAGACGAAGGATAGGATATATCTATTGTTTATAGCTCTGATACCAACCGTGACCAAGACTTGTTTAGCCTTGATACGATAGAGCTAGCTTATTGGGAATACCGTGTAGACGGAGGAGAGGATATATCTATTGTTTATAGCTATATCTTCTTCTTCGTTCACATGTATATCAAAAATAAAAGAAGAAAATATAGAAATGAATAGTAAAAAGAATAGTAACGGCGTGAACAGTAATGAACAGTAACAGTAGAAAAACGGAAGCAAACTAGATAGTATTTACATAAGAGACTAACAAAGTAGAAAGAAAATAAACTTAAACACTTACAAACCGAAGGCTTGGTGATCTGCTAGAGCTAGTAGTAGTAAAGCACACTTATCTTACAAATATCCAAAAGAAGAATTAAAAGCAAACCTCACTCAAACTTAAACTAAAACTGAAAACTTAAAAAAGGGAAACTTGGAGGGATTTCACTAGAGAGGATAAGACTTCACTCTCCAAAACGCCTCCCCTGAACGCATCAACTCCTTCTCCTTTTATAGACTTTTTAGGAACTATGCAAAGATTCCTTTCATATTATGACAAAGCTTGTAGGTCCCACCGGCTTCAATTTTGTCAAAACCTAAGAGAGGTAGAGTAGCGTAGCCTTTTTGACAAAAATTGCCTTCTTCCTTAAGCATCCAAAGCTTAGTGGTTGTAGGTATGTAGGCTGTTATTTTAGCTGCAGTCTGTTTTATTTAGCTGTGAATGAAATTTGTATAAAAGTTAGTAATTTTTAAACTCTTTGAAAAAGATAACGGGTGATCGACTTAGTGTTTAAGTT